AGTAAGTTGACAGCCTGGAACCATTGTTATTGGATGGTTAGAAATACCGCCAGGTGAGCCTCGCCAGGAACCGAACTAGAATATATGCATATTTATTTTTACACTATGAATGAGAACTGGTATGCTTTATTGTATTTTCTGTACATTTTCCTTTATTGTATTTTCTGTACGTTTTCATAAAATAGAGGCTTGGCATCATACTGACCCATACTGTATGGTGTGCCATACATACTGAATATTTGCAAACTACACAAATGTAGGTCAGTATTATATGTGATCATATTATGATTTTGCGTTCAATTACAGATCTAATCTCACCATTATCGTATCATGACTTCCGAAAGAAGACATAAAAAATCATATGCGAGGGGTAATCGATCGACAAGGGGAAAAAGACCGCCGGGATCACATGTACGTCCCAATTATTTTCTTGCGGTGCGTGTAACCAATCCGGAAATCCTTGAAGCAGTAAAACGTATCCAGGAAACGCTCGTTGGAGTTAATGAGGATTTGAGCGAGTTTTGTGCGTCTATTCCCAAGATGCACCTAACTCCCTTCAGTTCACTATTCGGATCGACGACGAAACGCACCTAGGGGCGGCACGCGAAGTTTTACGGAGTCTACAACCATCGATTTCAGCGCTACTCCCGCCACCAACGTCTCTGTATATATCTGGACTGAACAATTTCAATCGTAGGATCTTGTTTATGGATGTCGTGGCTGACCCGGCCCTTGACAGATTTCGGTCAGAACTGCTCTCCAATTTCGAGAAAGTCGGAGTGCGAAACGTCGGGAATAATCTCGAATACACTCCCCACGTGACTTTAGCGAAAATGTCATACGATGAAGCGAAACAGATGAATTTCCGGTTTCTGGATGAGAGATTGTGTCCCGAGTTCAAGGAGACGCATTTTGGAGTGCAGCAGATAGAGGGCGTACATTTATGTGAATTAAGTAATGACGTCAGTGAGGATGGTTTCTACAAAACTGCATTCACTTTGAATGTTAACACAACCTAGTGAGTATTGTGCATGGAAGGAAGGACAATTACAAAGAAAGAAAATAGAAAATATCTGTTTATCTCAAATTTTCTCAAAAATCCAGTCAGTATATAGTAGAGTACGTTTTCAAACACAAAACGCTTATTAGCACGCGATGACAATATAGTTGACTTTCGGATATTCTCCGGTATCTCGACTAAACCTACACATAAAATAATAAAAATAAACACTGTCACTCTCCTCAAATTTATAAAATGAAATCTGAATATGATAACCTGTGTTGACCCATGTCCTGTCAGTTATGATGCAATTGCCAGATAATACACGTTAGGTTGACATTAGCAAATTTCAAAGCTAAAACTGAAATGAGAGAGGTATTCATGAAGTAGTCACTGGTGTGAGTTGTGTCGGTCCAAGACAATTATGTAAATGGTCCAGTTTAAATGTTAAAATCGTACTGAGAGTACTGATACTACATAACGCCTTCTACGGTGACAGCGTAGATATCGAAAATATTTCTCTTGTTCATAATTTGGGTGTCAAAATCTTTATTCGTTTGTCATTATACAATACACATTTAAGCACCTTAAAGCGGGGGAGTCGTCACCTGCGCAT